CTCCATGCAACAATGTTGTTATCATGCTTTTTCAATCATCTACCCCCTAGGTTGTGGTAGATGTGCGAATTTCCGGATTCATATTATTCATTCCCTAGGTAGCAATGAATACGCGAATTCATCCTCAGATTGTTTACTCCATAGGTTGTAGTAAACATGACGAAGTCGGCAATATAACTCATTGTGTCAGTCTCCATGCAACGATGTTGTTATGAAGTTTTTTTCAATTATCTATCCCTTAGATTACGATAGCTATGAGAATTTTCAGGGTTATATTATTCATCCCATAGGTTGTGATGAAAAACGTAAGCACTCCTCTGTTGTCTTTTACCCCCTAGGTTGCGATAAATACACAGGTTCCTCCTTGAACTGTTTACTCCCTAGGTTGTAGTAAACAGGACAAAACCTGCGACATAACGCATTTCACCAGTCTCCATGCAGCGATGTATTATCAAGCATTTTCAATCATTTACCCCCTAGGTTGTGGTACGTGAGAAAATTACTTTTCAAATATTTATCCCCTAGGTTGCGACAAATATGCGAATAAATGTGCGTAATCCATTACATCAGTCTCCATGCAGCAATGCTTTATCAAACTTTGTTTTATTCATCCCTTAGGTTGTGATGAATAGACAAAATCAAATCAGAACTTATTATATTAGTCTCTAAGCATTAGTAAGTCAACTTTTCCAAAACTTGTATTTTTGCAAATATGAAAAAGAATCTACAATCTCTTAGATATTGACGAGTTATCCGCGTCGTCGTGTCTAAGTTCTATGAAAAACTTTGGTTCAAACGTTGGTAAGATGATACATCATCATCTATGCCTACTCTTCATACCCACGGGAACGTTGTACAACGTATCCTTATAATCTTTTGGATAAATTTTGGGGTCTTCCAATATTTAATAAACTTCCAACCAAAACGTGCGAGACCTGCCTATTCTTGCACCATTCAATCGAAAGGCAATTAAATAGAGGCAGCTGTCATACCCCAAATTTTCCCTACGGATTTCCAATCATTTTTATTCCTTATCAAACTCTAGAACTATCATTTGCTTTACATTGTTATCATATTCATGGGGTTTAAAGCTTATAAAGGAGGTTTTTTATCTTATGAAGAAATTGATGGGCCTTCCTAAATTAGAATGACCCATTGCATTTTTTTAGTAAGGTTTTGTTTCGCTTCCAGCCTGATTCTACATCATTAAGATCTTGGACCATTTCTATATCAGAATGGCCTATTTAGGTTGTGGGGTGTATAAAACAATTCATTTTGTTAAGGCTCAATAGTTTGATACAATATGGCCCGTTCAGCCTTTTTTTTTGTTTTTAAAAATAGTTTTGTTTTAATTATAACATTATCATTATTATTATTAATATTACTATTATAATTACTTTTATTAATTATTATTATTACTACTGATTTTTGTTTTTAGATCATTATTGTATAAGTTAAATTAAAAAAAAATATTTGTTTTAGTTTTTGAAAACTTTAATAAGGAGGCTTTCTAAAAAAACACACAGTCTAAAGCTAAATAGGCCCAGATAAAAAAAAACGCTTGGCCCAAAACCGAATCAAACAAACAGACACTGTGCAAATTGAAGAATGGTAACACACGTTTTAAAGCAAGAACAAGTACTGTACGAATCCAAAAGGGAAGTAACACATGCTTTAATGAAGAAAAAAAACATCCACTGTTTGGATTAAAAGAGGAATAACGCATGTCTTAAAGTGAGAACAGTTACTGTTCAGATTGAGATCTTGGCATTGAATCAAAATAAGCTTTATATGAACCGAATCAAATTCATAACCAAATATAGAAGCAAAATCAAAACCAAAACAAAACTAATCAAATCGTATCAAATTCATAAAAATTTGTATCAATTACAATCATAACAGAATAAAAAATCCCTAAGTTCCTAATTATCTAAATCAATCAAAGATTAATGATAAACATTAAAATTGTTTCATAAAGTACCTGATAAAAAAACACTATAAAATCCTAACATCAAAAACAGAAATGGGAGAAATTTGAGAGAAAAGTTTACAAAGAGATTTTTTTAAGAAGAAGGAGAAGAGAAGCAGAAGAAGAAGGAGTTGAGGCCTTTCTGCTCGTAAGTCCATATCCTTGCTTGAGATTTGAGTTTCAAAATATGAAACCCTAAATCTATGGATTCCGTCATCGTCATCTTAAACATCATCATCATCCGCCGTTGCTACCAACTTCCTCATCGCATCACCTGACTGTGTGCCGTTAAACATCACCATTCGATCACCACCAAACGTATAGAGATGTGCACCTAGCATAATACCATGCGCCTCCAAAGTTCAAACTCACATCCCCTAGGCCTAATGGGCCAAGTCCAAAATCTGGACTTGGACCCCTACTGCTCATACCCCCCAATTTTACTGTATAGTTCAAAAATACACTCCTGTCTTTTGAGTCTGAATTCAATATCTGAATTCAGGGCCTTACTATATACACCTCCCTATTTTACTAGCCCAATGCAATTCACACCCCTGCGTTTTAACTTAATTCTTTTTTTATTAATTATGTATTGTTTTATAATTTCTATATTTTATATTTTTATAACTATAATATTATATTAATTATTTTTATAAATCAAGTAATATTTTTTTTAAACTCATCTAGTATTTATTTATTTATTTGCATTAAAATATTTTTTAGCATGCACTAATTGATTATTTTCATAATTAATACACTAAAAAATATTTAACCAACCACAAATCATTTTCATAATAAAATTAATTCAACAATTAATTTTCAAAAAAAGGATTACGGATATATTTTATTTAACCGCGCACTTCATCTAACAAACTTCACTATTCACACACCTAGACTATGTATACAGTAAATTCAAATATCTTCGTAATCCATAAAAAAAACCAACCAACTGCGAACTATGAATTTGGACTCTGATTCCTCATAAGAGGATACATAGGCATACGACTAAAATTGTGGCGAGTTCCCCTAATAAAAAACTAAAACCCTATTTCTTAAAGATCACGCTTCTAATCCTAGTATCCATGTGAACAAGGTAGATGAGGAGTGCCTAACACATTCCCTTCGTCTAGAACCGAGTCAAAAACCTAGAATCTCTAACTTTTTAGGGTTAACCTTTATATTCCCTTCCTTAGGATAAAAATTAAGGGTGAGGACTCTTGATTTAAAAACCAATTACAACACATAATACTACTGAGGGGGTAAGACCTAACTCAATTTAACTAGAACAAAAAGTCAACATTCTAAATAAAATACCGCTGTTACAACAGAAGTCTAAAAGAAGAATAAAAACACTCACAACACAAACATTATCTAGCGAATTTGTGTATAAGAACGAAACCAGATAGCAAAAGAAAAGATGTTGTGTGAGTCTTCATAATCTTTAAAAAATGGTGAATGAATCGACCACCAACCCGAACCAATTCACATACCAACAACTCCCTGCAATAAATCACAGTAAACTTAAAAGCTCTTTCAAGCTTAAGAAACTCAAATCACAAGGGACTATAACAAAATATAGCATGACATCAACAAGGTTATGAAACAGAACAAAATTGTTACTAAGGTAACGCCAACCCAAACACATTGATAATTGCAGATCTCAACAAATCTGAAAAGAATCAGAAATCAATAGCAAGACGCACCACCACCAACCACGAAAACAGAACCGAAATCGATAAATGATTTAGATCGAAAGAGACAACTAAAATTCAACCAAAAACCAACCGATGAAACAAAAAAACTTGCACAACTCTGAAATAGAAGCAACCAGAACCAAATCTCTGGTACCAAATCGCCAAGACAGAGGGGCCAAATCATCGAACTCGAGCACAGTTTTTAAGGATCATGGAAGTGGTTGAGTAAAAGTTAGAGACCCGTTGGACAAGTTAGACCAACAGTCGTCAGAAAACACAAGAGAAACACTGGAGAAAATGCCGACAAAACTATATCAACGAAGCAGAGGAATAACAACCGCAACAGAAAAGAGGTGGTGCAGAGGAGAGACCTCAACACACCACCACAAAGTAGCATAGCTACATATTGAAACAGAAACTTTGGTTTTTGGGGAGGAAAAATTCTTGGCAGCTGTATGTGTTTCTGGTAGATGAGAGAAGATAGTGTTAGGGTTTCCTCTAACAAAGTTATATCTCATCTTATTCCGAGTTTTCAATCTCAACTTTTTGTAAACAGATTAGAATATCTCTTTTAATAAAATCTTACTTCTAAAACAAAATAATTATTCTATAATTTACGTTCACAATTAAACTAATTATTACGGCCTCACCCAACAAACTTTGAGATGAAAGCTCCATTCACCTCTTCAATGGTGATATTAAAATACAATTTAATTTCCTCTATTTTATTTTCTATGACATTTTTGTAATTCCTACTCATGATTGTTCCTTATTTTTCTGTGTAGTCACTTGTTCCTCTCTCTCCCTCTCTCTTGTGACACTAAGGCAAAACCAATTTCTGATTCATTAGACTAGTGACATTCCAAATATATACTTTTACTTTATTCTTACATAAATTACACTCAATGACTATTAATTGAATCCACAATTAATAACTTCATCAATTTATATCAACATTATTAAAAAGCATAGATGTGGAATGTTACAATATTGTTTTGTCGTGTAACCGAAAAAAGGATTAGTAATATATTTTTTGGTTTTTTCTGTCGACAAAATACTACTCATAATAAATATTTGACATAAAGACAATTCAAATACTATTTCCTAAACTTTGCAAATTCCTTTTACCCAACAATAATTGTTTTGTTTGTAGTGAATCCTATAGACATGGAAATCCTTATAATTATTGGCAATAAGTATGGTTTTCTCTACTATATACGCTCCTCTAATATATAAATAATTGTGATTTCTTTTATTTTTCATTAACCAAGTGTTCTAGCTTAACACAATATAGTACTCGTGTTTTAATAAAATTATTTTTTCTTCTTATTTTAAAGATGAAAGTCTTTTTTTCTCTTCTTCTAGTGTTTTGTATTTCTTCACTTAGTATGAGCTCTACACTTGTAAATGATAATCAAGATGGTCAAAAGTTTAATGTTGTTAGTTATGGTGCCAAGGGTGATGGAAATACAGATGATTCAAATGTATATTTTTGTTAAAATTTCTTATTTTTTTGCATGCATTTTTTTCATATATATTTTTTCTTATGATACAAAATTTCTGAAATCTAATTCAATTATATAAACTTTTATATAAAAGGCTTTTCTAAAAGCATGGAGAGACGTGTGTGGTACTACTAAAGGAAACCCAACACTTATAATACCTAAAGACAAAAAATTTATGTTGCAACCTATGAAATTTCAAGGTCCTTGCAAATCTGAAACAATTAATATTGAGGTGGGTTATAAATAATTGAATATATTTAGTATCCTGTGCATTATTTGTATATATAATAATACTCTTAGTTTTCAGTAATTTAATTAAATTATTTAATTTTAATTTAATAAAAATAATATTGTCAATATTTGGTTTCACAGATAATGGGAACTATTATTGCTCCAAAAAATAGAGAGAGTTGGAAATTGGATGATAATGATAGTGAATCATGGATTTCATTCTCTCATGTGAATGGTCTTGTTATCAGTGGAGAAGGAATAATTGATGGTCAAGGTAGTTCCTGGTGGAACAAAGTTGGCGAAGCTGATAGACCAACAGTAAGTTAGTTATTTAAATTATTTTTATAATATTAATGACAAACATGAGTGTTAGAATTAAAGTTTATATTGAATCATTTGAAATAATTTGAAATAATATATATGTGTAGGCTCTTCGAATTATTGGATGTGAAAATATAAAACTAAGTGGTTTAAAACACATCAATAGTCCAAGAAATCATTTAAGCATAACTTCGTGCACTGATGCTTTAATCTTCAATCTTCATATGACTGCTCCAGAAGATAGTCCTAACACTGATGGGATTGATATTTCATCGTCAACAGATATAGTTATTCAACAATCAATCATCTCAACTGGTTTAATTCTATATTATTATTCTCTTTTGTTATATATTATTAATTCTTTTTTATTAAAAAACTTTAAATTAATGAGATGTGTTTCTCATAAGTTATTTACATGTTATTAATTTTATTAATTATTATTTATCATAGGAGACGATTGTGTCGCTATTAACTCAGGTTCCCGGTTCATAAATATAAGTGATGTTTTATGTGGACCTGGTCATGGCATTAGGTTAGTTAATAAAATGGTCTTGTGATTTTAGTTTTTACATTATGTAATTATTTTCATCCGACATTGATTAACCTCTAAATACTCTTGAATGTGAGGTTGAATATATAGTGTTGGAAGTCTTGGAAAAGGTGGAAGTTATGCTACTGTGGAGGATGTATATGTACGAAATATAACTTTCACGGGAACAACTAATGGTGCTAGAATCAAGACATGGGCGGTAAGAAACGAATATATTTAATTAAATAATTAATTAAATTAACAAGAGATTTGATCATATTAAAATGTTTTGTTTGATTTAGGGAGGATCCGGGTATGCGAAAAAGATAATTTATGAAGATATTAAACTTTTTGGTGTGAAGAATCCAGTAATTATTGACCAGCAATACAATCCTTATCTAGGAGAAAGTGAAGCTGTGAAAGTGAGTGATGTTATTTTCCGAAACATTGAGGGAACTTCAAATGATGAGGAAGCAATAGAATTGAATTGTGATCGTATTGGATGTACTAATATTGTACTCGAAAATATTAAAATAACTGGTCTTGATGGAAAGAAAATATCTGCATCATGCAAATATGTACAAGGATCATGCTCTTCATGCACACCAAATGTCCCATGTCTTGGTTGAAATTATCATAGGTTTAGTTTTTTAGCTCATAACTTAGTATATGAATAATTACAAGAATAACTTTTGATTCTTAAATGTCAAAAGAAGGTTAAGAAATAAATTGTTATGTTTCTGTTCTAAGAGTGAGATTATTTAATTGAATTTTTTTTTGCGGGATACATAGGTCTAAACACTACTTTGTAGGATTAATTATTTGAATATTTATTTTTTAAAGAAAAAGTGGTCTATTTGCTTCTCAAAGTCAAATAATAATATTTAATGAAAATATAATATCCAACTTTTATATTTTCTTTCTTTCACAAATGTATAAATCATTATTAGATAATCTACACAAATAAATAATTTTAAACTATTTTATTTGTATTTTGTATTGTGATAATTTCACAAGATCATAAGAAAGAAGATTTAGATGTAAGATGCAAATCTATTACCTTAATTATGTGTGAGTGTCCATTGTGGAGAAGACAAATAGCCTCATATGCCATGATGGCATCAAGATCTGAGTGGCAGATTGTCAATTTGGATTTGGGTCAACTAAGTTAACTCTCATTGCTTATTTACTTAGTAAACATGAGAGATGACATATCCAAGTAGCAGCCTAATAAAGTCCAAATCAATGAAGGATAATCACCTCAATAGATTCTAGGAGACTTAATTCCGTTAGGTCATATTTCTCTGTTGTGGAGTTAGGGAAAGTCACTATCTAATTGATCGACAATTTTTACACAGATATTTAGTAAATATTTTAGTTATCATTTCTTTTAATTATCTAGTTTTTATTTTATTTTATCGTATATTATGTTTTGGTTTTGTGTTTTTGTGTTTACAAGTTCAAAAAAATAAAACATGACAAATCAGGACAGAAAAAGTGCATAATTCAAAGTTTCGGAGAAAATACTATAGGAGCCCTGACACGGGTGGTCGTGTCACCTGACACGGGCCGTGTCAGGAGGAAGACGTGAAAAGCGTGGAAAACAAACTCTGACACGGGTGACCGTATGTTATACCCCAAGTTTTGCACCTAATATCTCTCATCATTTCAATATCAACCCAATCACATCAAGATCACACACTAGGGTTTGGTTCTTCTTCCTATCTTTAGGTTTGCTCATGTGGGATCACCAAACACTTTTATTTGTATGTTTTGTACATGTATATCTTGTGTTGATTAACTTTTAGCTAACAAATACAATGTATGTATGTTTGCTCTATGGATGTTGGCATTATAGGTGATGGCATAACACATTTCATCAAGATGGTTCATAGGTTCATGAGTTTATTTCTATGTCTTCTTCAACAAGCTTCATTGAGATTTAAACTTCATCTTTGAGTGTGCTTTAAGACAATGTCATGACAAGGCCTACTATGATCCATCATGCTTCAATTTGCTAAATAAAGTAAAAAAAATACAAGATTGATTCAAGAAGTTTGACCAAATTGGATAAGTTCTTGATTCATTGACCATAAGTGCATAACTCTCTCAATTCTCAATATTTATAAGTGATTCTTATTGCCATGGGTTCATATTATCATTTACAATAACCTCTCTTCACATGACAAAAGCAATTGTGCAAAAAAGATTGTCAAAAGTTGAAAGGGTTTCCAAGTCATTTTGATGCTTTAGGAGCTAGGGTTTTGAACTTCTAAAGGCTATATATCATCTTTTGAGATTATTGAGTGATTCCAAAAATATATTTTTCTTTAAAGGGTTATGAACAAATCACTTCAAGAGTTCCAAGAAAATTTTGTATGGAAGATCGCTAATGATTGAGAAAGATTACAAGTCCTCTAGATATGCCATCAAATTCTTTTATGTGACTTCAAAGGATCATAAGGTCAATTTTTATCATCTTGAGCTCATTATTTTTTCATAATGATCTTAATGATGATAAATTTAACTCTCTTTTTGGTGCTAAGCTTGTAAATGATTGTAAGATGCTTTTTAAGCTCAAAATATTATAGGTCATCTCATGGATTTCCACCAATTTCACAAGATCATAACTTGCTCAATATTTTGAATTTTTGAGTTATATAAGTTTCACAATACTCTTTAGCAAGTTTACTTAAATTTAGCATCAATTATCAAAGCTCAATTTTGAAGGAATACCTTGTTTAGAATCAAAACATTATAGGTCATTTTTGAAGAAGAAACTTAGAATTTTTCTAAGTTCAAAAGTCAGCATATTTTCTTGATTTAGACTAAGCATAACTTTCAGCTCAACCATCTAAATGATGTCTTTCTTGTCACATTGTGAAGAGTGTCACATGATCTTTCTAATGCATCAAGAATCAACTCGTAAGACTTCCTAAATTGCACACACCATGAGTTCAAAGTCAGCTACTTGAAACTGAATTTTTCTCCAAAGTCAGAATTGGAAATCCATAATTTTCCTTCTAATCACCAGTTTTGCACGCATTTTTTGATTTAAACATGATTAACAAACTTGCACAGTCTTGTTTAAGCATCAAAACATAGGAATTGGATGAGTTTTAGGTGAATTAGAGTCACGTTTTTTCCACTTTCGGGCTCCACTCATTTTCCCTCCAAACCTCACTATTTCTTCCAATTCTTTTCACCATTCACTCTCTTATAAATAGGGGGACATATTGCGCTCATTTCCTCAAGCTTGTATAGCCAAAACCATTCACCCAAGATCCCATACGAACTCTTGAGCTTGATTTCTGTTTTTTTTATTTCCTCACCTTAATTAACAAAAACTTCTATTCAGTTAGCTTCTTTGACATTCATTGAAGCTAACCAGATCTTTAGCAAGAAGAATTGTGCATAGAATCGAGTTACAGAAGTCCAATTTAAGAGAAATTTTCTGCTTCTTCATTCAGGTATAATTCTCAACCAAATTGAACCAAATAAATCCCTATTCTAATCTACTCATCCTTCTGATTCTCATACTTCTTACGGTTTTCATTTTCATTAAGAATTGAGAGAGATACTTGGAAATTTCGTGTTCGCTATTTTTTCTGCTTTTTTTCAAATAGAGCCTTTCCCAGCTTATATAAATTTGGCGCGAGGGTACCATTGGAATCGTCTTGAAGAGACGAATCTAATGGTACCGGTCTAGTTTACTAATTTTACAGTTTGTGGAACTCCAATCTAAGGCGTCTAGAGGTTGAAGATGACCTACGTGTTGTGCTTCAATCAATGATAGCGTGACATGTAATTTTTTTGAATTCTATCTAGTGTGTTTGCCTTATCACACGTTTTGAGAATCCTTGAATCTGATTACTTTCATTAGTCAGACTCCATCTAACGTGTCACATTTTTAGTTACTTTTAATTATTAAAAAATGATTTCGTGTGATTTTCTAAGATGATCATATTATGCACAGCGTGTCAGATCCCTTGGATCTGCTTACTAACACGTTTTGACATTAATCTAATGGTCCATATTTTGTTGGCTTTATTTTAATTTTTAGATTTTTTTTATATTTAATTGTTTTGAACTTCAAAAAACCATAGAAAAATCATTTTTGACTAAAAAATAATGAAAAAATTCACAATTTTTTTTTCAAATAGTATCTTTCTGTTTTTTATTTTTTCACAATTCTATTTTCAGATTATATATTTTTTTATGATTTTTCTTTTGTTTTGATTTGTTTTTAATTGTTTAAAAATACTTTTTGATTTTTTTAAATCATAAAAAAATTCATAAAAATCATTTTCTTTATTTTTGACTTTCTAGAATTTTTTTAGAGTTTTATTTAAATTTTTACTATTTTTAATCATTTTTCACTTACTTGAGTGATTTTAAATAATTTAAAAATACTTTTCAGTTTTAAAAATTACCAAATTTTTTGTAAAAATACTCAAGATCATCTCTGACTTTTCTATGTTTTCTTTTAATTTTTATTTGATAATTTGAATATAGTTTATTATTTTGCCTTTTGTTTTCACTTAAAAATCAATTTAAAAATCATTTTTCTTATTTTATTTTGCTTATTAAATGCAATTTTATTTTTGAATATATTCTGGCTGAGCTTGAACTATGTGATTTTTAATCATGACCTTCTTTAACATCATTGGATCTTGGGTGTTGTGTTTAACTCCACCAAAATGGATGAGTGATTTTAATGATAGTTTGATTAAATTCTTTGGTTCAAATATCTTTTCTGCATCTTATTTCTTCTTTGACTTTTTCTTGTGTTATAAGTTTCATGAGTGTGGTTTCTACCACATCTCAAGACTTGCGTAGTACATACATTGCTATTGACCGACCTCAAAATATGTGTCACTTCTACATAAGTTCACTTACAATTGCTTAACATAACGCTAAATTTTATCCCGATTTGAGAAATGATCATTCGTGGCCCAAACCTATGTTTGCAAGCCAAATATGTTTAATTTGAAACCTTTGATCCAATAACCTTGAGGTTCATTGTTAGGAGGTTTTGGCCTTGTCAATCTTATAATGAACCATCATAAACTTTGGTCTAAGTGAACCATTTAAACATCGTTGATCATATGTTGTCACCTCGAGAACTTGAAATGAATGATATACTTGACAAAAAGCAAATGAAACTTGTTGTCGAGAAGCTTTGATTTCATCAATCTTCTAATAATTTTTCAAATGCAAGTTTCAAGATGGTCATTCAGCTAACCTCTAATCTCTAATTTACTCAATTGACTATTACTTTGTGCTTTTATTTTATGCTTTTACTTTATACTTTTACTTCTACACACTATTTATTTTATCATTTTACACTTCATGTAATTTTTCGTCTTTTCTCATTTGAGCATGTTTCTTCATGTCATTTTTGTTTTGCTCACTTGAGCTTTCATTTTCTTTTTGAAGATACTTAATAACAACCTTGAATGTTAAAAAACTTTAAGGTTACTTAGACTATTTGGTTACTATCCTTGGCATTATGGAGTCATGGACTTCTCGGACTTAGGATTAGAAACCTTGAATACCCTTGGGACCTTGTGACTCTGATTGTTATTTTGTCTTGAGTTCTTGGGGTTTATACCAAGACATTGAGTTG